TAATCTGCTATTTCTCCCGAATATCACGTAAAGCACTGGTTTTCAGTTAATTTAGCTGGTAAAATAAAGTTTAAATAAATGACATAAATGCTCTAATAGTACACGTAAGTTAGTGGTTTATTTATTGTTAGTTACTGTAATGTTGCGCTGCTTTATTTGGTTAATCGTCCAGTCTGAAGAAAGCATTCAAGTAAGAATTGCATTGTAGCATGACTCATTTCCTGGCAGGTACAATTTAAATTAGGTCAGCGTTCACAATTCGACTTCTGATATTCAGCTCGTGTTCTAGGTCAAACTGGTTTGTTCGACTTTCAAGAAATTTGAGTTCTAGTGAGTTCAAGAACCGAGGTACCACTGTATATAATAGGGGACATTTACGTATAGTAAGTATATTGTAATGTTGTCATTTGTTTATGTGTGATTTCATCTGCGAGAAACATCAGGGGGGTATTTTCCATACGTCGCTTAAATCATCCGAGATCAGATGCCTCATGTTGGATGAGTTAATGCTGGTGAAACTCATCCGGGATAAGTCGGTTTTTCAAATGCAGCAGTGTAGTAGATTAGTCTGGCTGGATCCATTCATCCAAGATGATTGCGCGCACCCCCGTTGCTTGAAAAGCCCATATATATTGAGTCTAGAAAACGTGACCGGCAAGTCTCTCATTGGCTTCCACAAAACATCAAAAAACAGGCCGCAATTTTTCACGCAACCCGAGCAGGACCTTTTATTAGAGGGTTATGATGAGTTCAAAGATTTTATATGTACTAAAGGAAACCCATCAAAAGGAACCCAAACCAGAAAAGACGGCTGGCAAAAAGTCTCCGACAAATTAAATGTGTAAATAGTTTTTAGTTATTGTATTTATCACTTGAATGTAGTATTACGTTTCCAAAGTTTCATTATTATTTTATTGTCATAATTACAGATCAAATACAAGCACAATCATGCAGGACATGGAAGTTAAAGTGAAGTACAAAAACATACTTCCAACTGGTAAACACAACATTTCATTCATATACGTGTGTGTGTTAATTTTATGTATATGAAATGTAGGAAATCTAACATTTATAAAACATGCCTTTTGAAGCTAATAAGAAGGCAGACAAAACCTTTGGAAATTATGGGTAATGAGTGATTTTTTAATTCTTTATAAAACTAACTTTATTGCGTGTATATTACCTGCAATGGCTTAAAACGCCTCTTTAATTGCCTGCACTCACAGGTGTCCGGGAAAAACAATGAAACCCCGAAGGAAATATTTCAGGCCCAAACAGACTTTGCGAATTGCCTGGCAAACTGTACTCTTTGATATATTTTCCGCATCGCCAGCAGTATACAAAAAAGTGCCAATATCTCAAGGCAATGCAAACTGTCTGTGTAGCTGTGAGAGCCCGCCTTCGGCTAGTTGGACTTCTACTATATGGAGCTAATAAATCTCTAAGATGTGATATTCCATCTCGGCTGTAGCGGTATCTTTCGAAAAGAATATCATCCGGCAAAAATAAAGGACCTTGCCGATCGCTTAAAACCCTCTCAATTTGAAATTAGGATTATTTCCTATCATTTGTGCATCGATTTCAATTGGTCGCTCATCCATGAATGGCGAGTCCATGCCTGAACGGAGTTCCATGCACGGACACTGATTAAGTGTGTGAGCTAACCCTTGCTCCGAGCAGGTTTGAGGGTTTGGATGTGCTGCTATGACAACACATCCAGCAAGAGTTTCGAAAAACCGACGGATCCAGGATCATGCCAAATCGTCAACAATTACATCCGGCGAGTATAAAACGAGTAATTACGTATGAAAAACACCCCCCAGGCAAATGGAAAAACCAGTTGAGCCGTCCTGCAGAGGAGCACACACACCTGAATCCCCTACTACGTGCTTGTTGTGCTAATCTTCCCTTCTACGCCTTTTAACTGTTACGATAAATAATAAAGTGGTCATTTAACATCCTAAAACTTGTCTAAACGTCATGGTTCAAAAATGTCAAGGGGTGAGTGAAAAAGTAAAGCTTCAAGTACTGAGAATCTTGAAATATTAAAGCGTTTTGAAAGGAATTAGATACTTTAAGACTCTTACTCAAAGTAACTACTTTATGCGCATTCTCAGAGACAATGCCGCGGAACAACTGGATTCATAAATTTCTTAGCTATTTATTTATAACACCGTCATATTATTCTTTTTAGGTGTTTCTGTAGCGCAAATTTGCTTAACGCGTGTTTTTTCGCGGTATATTAGAACATACCGCAATCTTTCCTGGCGTTACGCTGCACTCACCTGTGCTTCTGCCGGGGTGACTCGGCGTAAGGCCGGACCATATTCAGCGTCCAGATGGATCCTGGGGGAGGGGGGGGGGGTGAAAGGACGTTATTCTTAGTTCCATCCCCTAAAACACACACTTAAAGCACACATAGCAGCATAAGACCGACTCTCTACAACTAGGCCACGTAAATATGTTAATAGGTGAGTTGCACGAGCGCTTAGCAGCGTATGGTAATGGTTACTGCGCAGAAACAAATGCGGTCTGTCGGCACGTTTCTCGGGGCTAACCAGCTAACAAGTCAACACGATTCACAGAAAAGTCACCCAGCTCCAACTGCATGGCCTTACTGTACATTATATATACATATATATATATATATAAAATCTATATATTATCTAACGGCTTCGCTTTCACTGCTACAGAAACATACCTTAAAAGCTCAAACGTGTCACACAGCTGACCGCCATAGGCTACGTCCTGTAAATCTACCACACTGCAGTTACCTTGGTAACTTCTACTGACTTATACTAATTCCCGAGTGATTCATATAATGAGAAACAAGCATTCATGTCCGACTTAAGAAATTATTTTCTGCTCCTTATCTAACTACAAACGAAAGCGCTAATTGTTAAGAATACAATACTTACGAAAAAATGCCTTAGATACCGGAAACTGCGTGGACACGCAGTGCGTACGTACGTGTTTGCGTAAGCATACGAGGCCTCCATATGTTTTACGTAAATCCGCAGGGTTTCCTTATGCTCTTCGGATCGTGCATAACCTATCGCCCATATTTTCTCTGTCGTTTCAACGAACAAGATATTGCTGGTAATAGTTAATATAAGAACGTATAAGTTTAAACACATTCATTTCTCTATATAGAAGATATTTTAAAGTAACAGCTCTTTAATACTTGGACTTTTTATTGACCCGTCCGTTCCTCATCTTACCTTCTCTTATGTAGACAAAAACGCATTTACAGCAGTTTATGCAGTCAACAAGTATATTCTGGCTTTATCTGTAATATTATCTGTCAAGATGGAAAATATATGCTTAATTTCAGTTTTCCCCTTGAAATGGCATTTTGGCAGAAATTTAAAGTGTATGAGTAAAATGCAAGTCTGACGGGTGTCACGTACTGTACCAGGATGTGGGGCCAGAATCAGCTGAGATATTACCATCATGGGTCAAAAACAATGGGAGACAAACTGGCCCACTCCCATCACAGCACAGAACTATTTTAGATTTTTTTTTCTAAAATTTCATTGGACAATTTGTATGTCTTATGCTGTGTGTCTTATGTTCCTTGCTGCTATATGCAAATAGATTCCCCCCAATGACTAATTATAGATATCCACAGGATGGCACAGGAATCAATCTTTGGTTGGTCCTTCACTTAGTACAAGAATCACCTTTTGTCCTGACAACTGATAGGGGTCACCTTTGGTCCTGTCACAAGGATGACATATTGTACCCATTATAGGGATAATCTTTGGCCCTGTCACCTGACACAGATCTTTTTGCACAGGAATTGTCAACATTTAGGGTGAAATGCAATCTGTTTCCAAGTCAAAGACAGGGACACAATGACACTTCATTTCCTCACTGATTTGTTAAAAGACAAGGACAGAGTCATAGCATTTTTCTTAATGAAAAATACTTTATAATTTCATTTCAAAAGTTTAAAGATGGAGGTGCATTTATTCCCCACCTTTTAAATTTAAATCAATTCTTACATTCAAAGGCTTCACATGCATGTAACAGACACACTGGAGGGAAACTTGACACTTTGCATGGTGCTTATACAGTAATGTGGTGGGGGGGTGGTGACAAGGTGTAGAGATCATCAAACGTCAGACTACTCCAATACTTCAGGCTGCTACTTTAAAGTTCTGGAGATGCAGGTCAGAGATCAAGAACAGCACATCACCCCATTACTGTTCTGAGGATAGACAAGTCCATGATTTCTTATGTTCCTTTAAATCAGGAGTTAGATTTTAATAATTCTGAGCTATTAGTTCAGTTCTCCCCAAACAAGCTTGATGGGCCGAATGGCCTCATCTCGTTTGTAAATTTTTTATGTTCTTATGAGGAACCTATGATCAAGACCTCAGCTCATTCAGGCAGAGAGACAGGATTCTAGATTTTTCAGGATGTTTCCGCATCTTGTCATTAATGTATTGGGCAATATCCTCTGTACCATGTGAGCTATTTGCTGCCTGTCCCAACAGTTCTCTCATAAGTTTCTGGTTGGACTCCCCTGATAGGCCAAGCAGGAAACGAAGAAAAATGTCCAGATGTCCATTCTCACTCTGCAAGGCCTTATCTATTGCGCATCTGTGCACATCAAGCAGGGATGGTTCTTTGAACATCATACACATTTTTCTGTTGTATTTTAAATGAGAGAAAAACATACAGAGCAGCAAGATACTCCTGGACAGTCAGGTGCACAAAGCAGTACATTTTTGACTGATACATCACAAACTCCTCCTGATAGATTTCTGTGCACAAGCCAGAATGAACCACTGTGTCATCAAAGTCAACACCACTCTCCCGCCAGAGAGTTTCTGACAATGTCTCTTCTCCCTTCTCTAGCATCCAGAATGCCAGCTTCCCCAATTTGAGAAGGAAATCTAAGTCAAACTCCTTGTCATCTGAAGGTCTCCCATGGTACTTCTGCTGCATCTGCTTCATCTGAATGAGTGTAAAGTGTGTGAGAAACCGGGTCAGAGTTCTGGGCACCTCTCTGTCACCTGCACTGTGGAATGCACGCTCAAGGACTGTGGCAATGATCCAGCAGAAGACTGGATTATGACACATGACATGAAGGGTTTTCATCGACATCACATGCTCAATCACTCTGTTGGCCAGCTCTGGATCTCGGAGCCTCTTTCTGAAGTACTCCTCCTTCTGCGTGTCATTGAAACCTCTCACCTCCAACAGGCAGTGAATGCACTCTGGGGGGATGCGGCTGGACCTAAAAGGTCTCGAAGTGATCCATATATGAGCTGAGGGCAGCAGGTTTCCCTTGATGAGGTTGGTCAGCAGCTTGTCCAATGTAGTGGGCTGGGTTGTGTCACACCAACACTCATTGAAGGTGAAGTTGAGGGGCAGATGAGATTCCTCCAGTCCGTCGCAGATGAACAAGACCTTGCATTCCTCACTGTCCAGGGACTCGAGCTCCTTCAACTCCGGGAAGAAACTATGGATCAGCTGCATAAGGCTGTAGGAGCCACTCTGCATCAGGTTCAGCTCCCGGAAGGGGATTGGGAGCAAAAAGTATATATGCTGATGGCTACGTTCCTCTGCCCAGTCCAGAATGAACTTCTGCATGCAGACGGATTTACCGATGCCACCAATGCCCCTGGAGAGCACCGATCGTGTGTGCTGCTTCTCAATAGCAGCAAGGCTGAATATCTCTGTGCAATTGACAACCACCTCTCGTTTAACCCTCTTGGGTGGCACAATCTGCCTGATCTCATGCTCCTTGTTGACGCCGCCGTTGCCACCCTCAGTGATGTAGAGATCTGTAAAGATGTCATTGAAGACTGTCTGCTCGCCCTGCTTTGCTACTCCCTCGAATATGTACTCATACTTCCTCTTGAGAGAAAGCTTCAGCTCATACTGTGCTTCACCTGGGGGGGGGGGGAGGGCAGAACAAAAACAATGTTAACAATAAAGAATGAATAAAACTCAAGAAAGATGCCATGAAGAAGCACGCAACTCTTGAAGTGTATGAATGACCCATATCTCTCAGTACATTTGACAGCATTGATTTAACTAGCCAACAAATAAGTACTGCTGTAGCAATTTCTAAGCAGTAACAGATCTTACGTCTCTTGATAAGCTCCTGCAGGTAATTTGCAGTGCTCTTCAGCTTCATGTCCGTCAGGGTCTTCAGCGTAATTCTCAGAGACCCATCCAGGCCACATTTCTGCAGTATACTATCCACCAGGTCCAAAACATCCTGTTTTTCAGTTGAGGTGTCAAAGAATTCTGGGTAATGCCTCCGCAGATTCCGTTTGAAGAGCGCGAACTCCTCCTGTGCCAGCCTCCGCAGAGCCAACATTAGTATCTGTTTCAGAAATAAGAACATGCATAATCAATAGAGTCATTCGAGAACTCTCAGCTCACCACCATGAAGGGTGCTCAGAAGTCCACCATCTACACACCAGGGTGTAAGCCTGTAGTTTCATTAACAGTGAATTAATTTAAATCACAGTGAGTGGAATCTGTCCAGCTACTTTGAAAATAAAGGTGTTTCCATGAACTCACACTGAACATGAATTCAAAAGTAATTGAGGGATGCCTCATTTCAGATGGAGCCAGAAGACTGCAAACTTCTGGTCTGGGTGTCGGTGCTGGGATGGTTGCCTGCTGAAGGTTCTGACTCCGAGGCCTGAGAAACAGACAACTGCATCACGAAAAGCAGCATAGATCTTCAGAGATAGATTGGGGGGGGGGGGGGCAAGTAACATTTGACCTGAAGAGAAAACTCTGGTATAGGCAATAGAGAACTGTAATGTGTACCACATGAGTTAATGTGAATATAAATCACCCTCCAAACAGCATGTTCAGTTCTCCTAAAAATTCCCCAGTTCTGAAATGCAGATACTCAACACAAACTAATGTTAAGCTTCAGTTGGCTAAGGATCGGTTCAAATTATCGATGGAAAAAATCGTACTATTAAATGCATAACTACAGTGGAAACTGCTTTTAGTGATTACGGTTATAGTGATCAACCGCTTATACGGATCAAAATCTTGGAAGAGAATCAATCCTGTACAAATACTGTTTAAATAATTTGCTTACAGTAATCAAGTAGTCCGCTTAGTGTTTTTTTTACATATACATGACAAAGACAGTAATTTATTATTATTATTTTTATTTTACTTTGATAGCCCTACTTTGCCTTGCGGTAACCCGTCTGCTTCTGGCTAACTACCTGAGGCTAAGGCTGCGTGAACAGAAAACATGACGGGAAAAAAGAATTTTCTTTCAATAACAAATATAGACTCATCAAAGCTTATGAAAACTGCCAAAAACGAGCCACTTAGATGCAGCAGCAAAACGGCAATAAGCTGTATTTTATGTACGGTACTATATTGTATTATAGTATATTTAAATTATACACAGTTCAGTAATTTAATTTGTACAATACTTTGAAAACTATTTGAAACTACTGTACTGTATTTTTAGAGTCAATAAAATCCAGCAAATATTGATGCTGTCCGTTTTGTTACTTTATATTCATATAAATGTACAAATGTGAATTAGCTGGTAATCTGCTTGAGACAAAGAAAAAAATCGGTTAAGGCAATCATCCACTTATACTGATCAATTTCACCCAGACAAATGTGATCACTTTAAGCAGTTCCCATTGTATTATGCATTTATAAAATTATTGTTTATTTTAGTGATAAGGACCTACTGAAGCTAATTTGCCAAACAAATGGTGAAGTGAGTTTAAATCCCCTAGCTTCCTCATTCTAGCTTCATTAAACAAATCTACTAAACATACCATCATCCAACTCCATGGCTGTCATTAAGGAATCCTGGTGGTGCCACTCTCAAATAGGCGCCACGTGCACTGCTGTGAAATGGTACACAGCTTATACAGCCCACTGTACATGCAGTA